AGACACCACTGATGTTGATTATAGCCAAAGAAATCATATAGAGACTACATTACCGTGCCCACCCCAAACCAATGCCTAAGCACCCTACTCAACTGACACTATAGATACTTCTACAAGAAAAAGCCGCCCCCCCCCATGAAAGTTACTCCATAAAATTGGGATTGGGAAAAGTGACTGCTACACCAGCTGAGCAGGTATCAACATAGGGACACAAGAAATATGAGAAAACAAGGAAACATGACCCTTCTAAAGGAACACAGTAATTCTCCAGTAACAGACACCAAAGAAAAGGACATTGCCTGAAAAGGAATTCTAAACAATGCTCTTAAGTAAACTCAGTGAGATACAAGAGAACACAGACAATTCAGAGAAATAGGAAATGCATGATCTGAATGAGAAATTCAACAAAGAGATAAATATAAAAGAGAACCAAACAGAAATCTTGAAAATGAAGAATTTAATGAATGAAATCAAACATACAATCAAGAGCTCAACAATAGACTAGATCAAGCAGAAGAAATAATTTCTGAACTTAAAGATAGGTCTTTAAAAATAACCCAGTCAGACCAAGAGAAAGAAAGAAAGAAAGAAAGAAAGAAAGAAAGAAAGAAAGAAAGAAAGAAAGAAAGAAAGAAAGAAAGAAAAGCCTATGGGACACTATTAAGCAAGCAAATATCCACATTTTGGGAGTTCAAAAAGGAGAAGAGATAGGAAAAAGCATAGAAAACACATTTAATGAAATAGTAGCTAAAAACATCCCAAGCCTTGGAAGAGATATAGACATCCAGATACAGGAAGCTCAAAGATCCCCAAATAGATTAAACTAAAAAATATCCTCTTTGCGGCACATTATAGTCAAACTGTCAAAAGTCAAAGACAAAGAGAGAATTCTGTAAACAGCAAGAGAAAAGCATTAAGTCACATAAAAGGGAATCCCCATCAGACTAGGAGCAGATTTCTCAGCAGAAACCTTAGAGGCCAGGAGTGAATGGAATGATGTATTCAAAGTGCTGAAAGAAAAAAACCCAAAAAACTGTCAGCCAAGAGTACTACATCCAGCAAATCTATCTTGCAGAAATGAAGGAGAAATAAAATCTTTCTCAGACAAACAAAGACAGAAAGAATTCATCACCATTAGGCCAGGCCTACAAGAAAAGCTTAAGGGAGTCCTGCATCTAGAAGCAAAAGGATGATACCTACCACCATGAAAACACATGAAAGTGTAAAACTCATGGGTAGAACTGATCCACAAATGAGAAAGAGAAAGGAATCAAATGTTATCACTACAGAAAATAACCAAACCGCAAAGATAAACAATAAAAGAGGAAGAAAGGAGCAAAGAATACATGAAGAAATAGAAAACCTGAACAAACCAATAACAAGCGATGAGATTGAATCAGTAATAAAAAGTCTCCCATCAAAGAGAAGCCCAGGATCAGATGGCTTCATTGTTGAATTCTACTAATCTAACTCCAATTCTTCTCAAATGTGACAAAAAATTGAGGTGGAGAGAATTTTTCCCAATTTGTTCTATGAGGCCAGCATTACCTGGATACCCAAACCAGGCAAGGACCCAACAAAAAAAGAAAACTACAGACCAACATCCCTGATGAATATAAATGCAAAATTTTTCAACAAAATATTAGTAGACCAAATCCAACAGCCCATCACAAAGACAATATACTATGATCAAGTGGGGTTTATCCCAGGGATGTAAGGACAGTTCAACATATGCAAGTCAATAAATGTGATACATCACTCCAACAGCATGAAGGACCAAAACCATATGATCATCTCAGTAGATGTTGGTATATATACTGGTGTATATATATATACCCTGGTATGTTATTTAGCCATAATAAAGAATAAAATCCTGTCATTTGTGGCAAACGGATGAGCCTGGAGGACATGTTAAGCAAAATAAGTTGGGCACAGAAAGATAAATACTGAATTTCTTACTCATATGTGGGAGCTCAAAAAGGTTAAGCTCATAGAAGGAGAGATTAGAATGATGGTTATTAGAGGCTGGGAAGGAGGGAGCGGGAGGGGAGAATAAGGAGGGCCTGATTAAGAGATACAAAATTTTACCTAGACAGGAGGAATAAATTCTAGTGTTCTATGGCACTGTAGGGTGACTATAGTTAATAGTAATTTAGTGCACATTTTCAAATGGCTAGCAGAGAAGATTTTGAATGTTTCCAACACAAAGAAATGATAAAAGTTTGAGGTGATGGATATGCTAATTACCTTGATTTGACCACTACACATTTTATACATGTATCAAAATATCATTCTGTACTCCATAAATATGTACAATCATTACATGTCAACTAAGAATAAAAGAGAAAAAAAAGATATGCATTATTAAAAAGCATAGGGGTGAGAAATTCTGAACCCCTGAGCTGGGAAGTTCTAAATGATGACCTATGAGTGATATCGACCAAAGGGGGAACCTCTGCCTCTAAAGTCCTGATACCAAAGGTGGTCAGTGATAATCAGATTCCAGGTGTTGTCACCTTCATGGCCTTGTTTGACCCCCCAGAACACACCTATGAAGGACAGGACCCAGATGCATGTCCCCATTTTATAGATGAAGAAGCAGAGACTCAATAGGAAAAGACTTGTCCAAGCTAGCACCACTAGCACGTGACTGGCAAGGAAAGGAATGCAGGTTATCTGGGGCCCAGTTCACTCCTTTTCCTACTGGGCCACGCTGAGAACTTGGTGCTTTGACAATCATATTTGGTCTCTTGCAAATTTTCCAGCTTCACACAATTTTGTTTACAAAAAAAATACTAATTATTATAGCTAATCTCTCCCTAAGGAAACACTCATTGAGGGAAAAACAAGGGAACCAACATAGGTACATCTAATGGCTTTGTGTTTTACTGCTCATTTATTTCCCCTATACTTAGTTTTATTTGGAAATTAATGACGATTGGATTCTAGAAAACTGTTTCCCACAGGATATTTTCAATTGTTTAAAGAAATAAAGAACACGACCACTAACGGGGCTTTTGCAGTGCCACCAAGCTGTCTTCCATTTTGGGGGGATTTGCCTTTTGTGTAGCCAGTAATTACTGCAGGACTCCCGTCCTGCGCTGCTCCAGGCACAGAGCTGAAGGGTCCCCTAAAGAGTATCGCCTCCACGTCTGAACCCTTCCGTCCTCTCAAGTTTACAAGGAGCATCACAAAGCAGCCTCTCCACCAATCACTCGCTGACAGATCAGCACAGGTTTAATCCCAATCAGAGCATCTGGGAGCCAGTGAGATGGGGCTGCGAGGAGGCCCGGCCTGGCTGGCCTGAAGCCTTTGACCAAGTAAACACAGTCTGAAAGGGAGCTGGGAGCTTGAAAGTAAAACTGTAAATGATCCCATCTGTGATTCTGGGCGGATTATTCCTCTGGGGTGGACCAAAGAGGGGGACACCAGAAGAGAGGGTCTCTCTTTGCTTTAAACAAAATCCTGTTACACTTCTAGCGTCCTCCCTGTTTTGGGTATTTTCCAAGAGAAAGTTCATTAGGGAGACACGAAAGCACGTTCTGCTAATATCCATCAAAGAGGGGCTCACTTTCAAAGCACAGAAGAAATACAATAGCGTTGAAGTGAACTATATGAAAAAGATCTTATGCCCCTGAGAAACAAAAGGGGAGTAGGGACTGACTGATGACTTGGGCTTTTTTTTTAAGGCAATCTATATTTGGGATGAAATAAGTGAGTCCCAGAAAAATTAGCATCTCCTGGGCACTCTCTTATTTACATGGGGCAGCTTGAACTAAACATCCTGAAATGTTTGTAAATGTTTGGATTTCCTTTTCCATATTTTCTCCTGTTGGCACCAAATCTGTAGGGCTCGGAAGTCCCCAAACGCAGGTCTTACCCACAGTGGGGACTCTTACTGACGTGTGTTGATCTGGAGGACTTACAGGAACAGGATGAAGTGCAGATCAGAGCCCGGGGATTAGGTCTGCCGGTGAGTAGAATGTAAACACGGGATATCTGAGAGGTAGGGAGTGGGAGGGGATCTTCAGAGGTCTGGGCTTCGCAACAGGGTGGCTTTGTGTCTGTCCTCAAGCCAAGGAATGGGCCTGGGTGCTGGGGAGCATTAGTCAGGCCCGGGCTCTGTCGTCGGTCTGAACGGTGCAAGTCCCTTCCTTGGGCTGTCCAGGGGTGTTGGGAGGTTCCAGGATGACGAGCCCCTCTGCAGGGAGCTCTCGTGCAGGTGGGCAGAGGATGCTTTCCCTGCACCCATCTTCTTGCTGAGGACACCATAGCTGACCCCTCATTCAGGATTGCTCCTGTGGGGAGCCAATCCTCTGCCTTTCAGAAGCATCTGTCCCTGAAGGGTGTGGCTGTCCCTGGGAAGAAGTGGATATTTTCAGTGCTTCAGTCTTGTGTCTTGTGAGTCTCCCCCAAATACTTCCTTTGAAATGAGGCCATGGGTGGACATACATGGGGAACTCTAGTTCCTTAGGAGAAAATCCACCGTAAGAATTTAGGCTTTAGCCCTGGGTAACACTGAGTGAAGCTGGGTTCCAGCAGTGAGACTGTGAATGTTTAACAGGCCGTGAAGATGGACTTGTTCCCACCCTGTCTGTCTGGAGTTCCTGGGTTCATGGGCCCATCTGTCTCAACCTTGGCGCTACTGGTCTTCCCAGTGGTAGGAGGAACATGGGGAAGCAGGTTCCATAGCTCGTTTGTAGTGCAGTAGCTATCATTATAGGCTTTGGAATCAAAGACATGGGTTCAAACGCCAGCTTTCATTGCTCAGTTTTCTCACCTGTGAAATGAGGATAATATTGCACACCAGAGAGAGTAGCTGCGAAGAATAAATGGAAGGTATGTAAGTGGTTACTTACCACAGTGCCTGGAACATAGTAGGTGCTAGCTAAATGGTAGATTCATATTTGCAGCTGTGGACTTTACCAAGAAGTATGTGGATGAGGATATTCAGATTTAGGGGTGCATCACTCTAAACTATACATCACACGATCACTTACAGGGGTGTAGAGAGACTGGACCCTTCGTTCCTCTGGTGTGGTGCCAGCTGTTGATGTAAAGTGATGCTGGTGGCTGGCACCAGGGGCTGAGCATGGATGTCACTTGTTCCTTTTCCTTAGATCTAATGCAAAAAGGCCGAAATGTGCTATTCTGTAGTGACTTCTTCATTTGTTCTTAACTGACATAGATACTGCAACTTGCTTTGGCAGTGAGATTATGGCTTCAAGTCTATAAAGAGAAAAGACTGTTATTTTCTCTTATGGCTGGGTCTTGGATCTTACCAGGTTTGGTGCTCAGCAACCAAGCTTCTCCCCCTCCCTCTTTCCCCAACTACGAACCTTTCTTCACAATCCTCATCACTTATATTCAGGCTCTCAAAGCCTGGGCAAGGCATCCTGAATTATCCTGGTATTGGTAGAAAAGGTTGGCGGATCAAACAGAAAGAGACAGTGCCCATTCATTGATTGATTCCACACCATTCGTTAGGCACATACTGCACGCCAGCCACTGTGCTTGGTGCTGAAGTTATAAAGACGAACAAACCTCAGCCTCTGACCTCGAAAATATAGTGGCTGTTTCTTGTCCTGGGTACTGGTTCAAATTTGGAAACATTCAACAGGTTGCACACTTAAGATTTGGGTGGTTTTTGATGTATGTTATTCTTCAATAATTTTTTTTTTTTTAAGTATGATAGCAGACACAGACACCAAAACATGATTCTAAGTGCTAGATCCAGATATTCCCAGGGCATCGTGGGAGAAGGGGAAGGCAGGTGGGATGTGTTATACCTTAGGAAAGGCTTCCCAGGGGGGCAGGCTGCGTTCCTGGCAGAGGTTCCAATGTGAGCAAAGTCCTGGAGAAGAAAAGCCACGTGGTGTGGACAGAAACTACGAAGAAGCCTGTGTTGCTGGAGCACGAACTGCGAGGCAGGAAACGATGGGCGTAGGGACTGAGAAGGAGGCAGGGGTTTATGTCTATGGCGTGTGGGCTTTGTCACGTGGGCAATGGGGGACTGGGCGGGCGGGGGTGGGGGTGCCTTCAGCCAAGGGTGGAAGTGGTCAAATCTGCATTTTAGACAGAAGTGCGGGAGTTGGCTCAAGACTTGGGGCAGTTTTGAGGTCAGTTCCATTTTCCAGATGAGAGATGGGTCAGAGTTTAAACTACAATACAAGTTTTTATGCATAGTATAAACGCACACACACACACACACACACACACACACACCCAAAGGCTGCAGTAGAAGACTTTCGTGCACTACATTATACTACAGAAAAGCCCGTTAGAGCTTGGTAGACACAAGGATAGACTTGTTCAGGAGGAACTCATCTCTCTCTTTGAAAAAAGCAACATTTTTTAATATCAGGCGATTTCGAGTGTGAATTCAATGCCTCCTATGTTAGATATAAGAAGCACACATCTTATATCTTTTGTATTTTTGTTTTTGGAGAAAATTTTGAGGAAATAATTCTTCCTTGCTCCCTTGGGGATTCATTTGTTGCTTGTCTCTTTTTTGAAATATTTTCTGTTATCTACTTTACTGGCGAGACTCTAGTCTGGGGAGTGAACACCCCGGATTAGCTCATCTTTTCCACCTTTAGCTATTCACTTCTTTTCTCATATGTTCCAGAAGAAACTCCCAAGTAGCAAAATTGATGAAGAGAATCTGTGTAACCCCAGATGGACTGATGTGTTTTCTTATGTCCTGTTCCTTTAAAACAGGAGGCTGGACGGTCCAGTTGTCCCTTCCAGAACAATGGCTTGGTGCCTGCCTCTGGCCGGCTGAGAGGCTCTTATTGATGCCCCAGCCTCTGGACGGAGGGTAAGCTTGTGGGTGGGGACAGAGTTTCATCTGTCAAGAGGGACTTAGGGAAGGGAGACCCCAAGGTATATTCTTCAATGCCTGCGCCCCAGGTGGGGAGAGAAAGGGAGGTGGTGACAAGTACATGTGTTCATCTATGCAAACTCTCGTGTTTCAAAGGAACATTGATTTCATGGTTCCCAAAGGGGAAGAGTGAACAATGAGTTATTGTCTAAGTCAGGTTGTTTCCTGCCAGAGGCTAGAATTCTGCAAAATGTTGGACATAAACCTAGACTTGGGTTCTAGGTCTGTATGAGCCACTTGTGAGGAGCGTGGCTTTGGGCAAATTACTTCACCTTTTGAAGAACTATTTTCTCTTTATAAAAATGAGGATAATAGAGTATGGGTGTTTTTGGCCTTTACAGGTTGTGTGATCTTGGGGGTGGAAATATTTTGGATGTTGAAAAGTGCATTTTGAAAATAACGATCTAGTATGAGAATTTTCTCCTGAGCATTAACCAAAGCACTACGCAAGCAGCTTTGATTGTAACAGAGGGGTTTGGAGAAATAAGGAAAAAGCATGCAAAGTCTTTCTTCAATAAGGCAAGAATATAAAATAATGTCTCGATTATCTACACATTTCAGGGAGCTCTATGGCAAATGCCGGCCGGCATCCTCTGGCCTCTGAGCGCACTTCTCTTTTTCTTTGCAGGGTTTCACATACTAACTTCCACACCAGCCAAGGCAAAAACCTGCTGGGAAGTAGAAGCTGAGACTCTGCAATAGGAGAAGAGAGGGCCCTGGCCTCAGTGCCATCACCTGGCTTTGGATCTCATCTCTGTCTTTCACTCCCTGCCGGTGCCTGAGTAGGTCTCGTCACCTCCCAGTTTCCCATGCACATATTGGTTAGAACATTCTTAAAGTCCTTTCTAGCACTTAAAATGGGTTCTGTAACTGTCCCAAAGCACCTCATCAATCATCCCCTCTAGGGGCTGAAGAGCCTTGTGTTGCTGAAGATACGGGGTTCCGGGTACAGCGTCTCCTGTCCACCACACAGGAAGCAGGAGCGGGTACAGCTGTGCTAAGTCCCTGGTTCCTGTTCCTCACAGTGGCTTGATGGCCACTGCGGCTGCTTGGTGGCTTGGCTTCGCCCACATGCAGGAGTGTGCAGGCTGCATACGGATGCCATGATTCCCGCCAGTCACGAGCTTGAGCAGGCAGCAGGAGAACAGGCTTGGGAGGGGAGTGGTCACTCTACATGGGCAACCAGGGTGAGGCTGGTGGGAAGAGGGGTCACTCGTAAAGCAGCAGGCCACCAGCTAAGACCTGCTGAGGGATGAGCATTACTCACAGGGTGGGTCCAGTTCCCATTTTAGACCCAAAGTAAACTCTCCAGGCCCTGTTGTAGTTGGCTAATGGCAATCCCCAAACCACAGGCTCCAGAGATATGAGCCAGCGTTCCAGGAGAAGCCACCCACAGGAGAGGGAAGGCTGGAGGGAGAAAGCCTGGCTCAGGGTAAATCCTGTGTGTTTGGGACTGACTGCTTCAGAGAGAGGGCTATGGCATCCTCCAGTTCAGGGTTCAATGCTAAGACCCAAGCACAGAGACACACACGGGCAGGGTGTTGAGGTCACCCTATCCAAAGTCAACAGCAAAAGGACTGAGGGAGACTTGGAGTCACTTGGAAGTTCTTCATTCTGCTTTTTTCAAGCTCAGAAAGACGAGCATACCACTTAGGAGGCTTGGTTTGGATAGCTCTCCTAAGCCCTGGTCAGATGGCTATCTTTCAGCTAAAACACAGGGTTCACTGAATTTTCTTCCAAACTTCATTTCAACAATTATCTTGGCATATTATCTCTAGCATTTCCTTAGAGAGTTCCTCCACATTAGAAAAAAAAAAAAAGTTTGCCATATCCTGTGAATGTCTAGATTGAGAAATACAACCTCAAATCAGTCGCGATGTGTGAAGATGTGAGTGGCCCATGAGCGTGAGCTGCACTGACGAAGGCCTGGTGAGGTGGCCACGCAAAGGCAGAAGACACGAGAGAGTAATGTCCATCTGGGCACCTTTGCAACTTGTAAAATCTGAACGGGATCTCGACAAGTCACCTGTGCAATAAATCCCTTGCCCTAGCATAAGGCCATGCTTGAATCTTCAGTCCTCGGACCCTGTGGCCCTGGAACACACATATGCAGAAAACACACACTTACATGCAGTATTGCACCCTCCCCCCAAAACTCACGGCAATTAGGGTGGAATTCCCCGGTTTTCTGGGCTGGACTTAGAGACCCAGCAAAAGGGGCTCTTGAGAAGGAAAAAGGAATTCCACACTGGTGAGGTTAGGGCTGCAGTCCTTAAAGCCAGCCGGCTTCGTGGAGACTGACTGCTTGGCTCTCTTGGAGGGGGCATTGGGTGAAGTTGGGGAAAAATGATTCAGAAGCCCTGGAGATCCGAGCCAGGCGCTTGGGCAGGGCTGGGATCTGGTAGCACCGTGGGCTTTACCTTCTGAGCCGCCCATCTGCCCCCTTATATCCAGGGCCCTGGAGTCGCTCTATTCTCCACCCATCTCTGAAAACTTTCCTTCTCTGATGCTACTTCAAAGCCCCCTGGGAAAGCCAAGTTGCCAATTAAGCCTCTTTGAGGCAGGTTCTCATTCCTTCCCCACTAATTGAAATGTTACTCCTTTTACTAAACCCATAAACCACCCAAACACAACGGTCTTCCTCATTTGCATTGTAACAATGTCCCTAATGTGCTTCCAAGAGCTGTACGTAAAGGCGAACCTTTTCTCCTCTCCCTGTACGAACGGTCAAAAGCAATTCCGAGGCCTTCATTTCCATCCCTATACAGCTGCTCATTAGCTAAGGTGGAATAAATTCCTTTTATTCTGGATTCATTTCCCAGGATGATAATGTCTTTTTTGTCTCAGGTCACTGTTCCCAAACTAGGCCTTAATTGCTGATCGTAATTGAGTTAATACATATTTACAGCAGGGTAAGGTTAAAGAAGGTCTCCTGTAGTTTTATTTGGGACATTTTATTTAACCTGCAATAAAATCATTAACAAGTTGTTCAGTGTTAATTCTCCCTGTACTTTATCTTGTCTCTGCCCCTTGGGACAGTTGGGTGAACGCAGATGGCCTTGGCGTGGGATCAGCTCCCAGGCTGCAGAGACAGGAGCCCCGGCCTCACCTCCTCACCTCGGCTATTCAGAGAGGAGGGCCTCTCCGTGAAAGCAGATAGCCTGAGGCAAGGCTGTGCAGCTCTCCA